TGGGAAGTACAGTGCCTGCACTCTGAAGGAGGGGTGTTAATGTTGCAGTTTAAAAACTGTAGTGTAAAGCACCCTTCTGGCAAGACAGTGATGGAGTGAATAATGGTGAAAGTTTTTCTTTTTCGGGCCACCCTGCCTTGGTGGGAATCGGCCAGTGTGATAAAAAAAAAAAAAAAAAAAAAAAATATATATATATATATATATATATATATATAATATATATATATATATATATATATATATATATATATATATATATATATATATATGTATTATATATATATATAATATATATATATATATATATATATATATATATATATATATATATATATATATATATATATATATATAATATATATATATATATACATATATATATTTATATACAGAGAGAGAGAGAGTGAGGTACCACCTTCAGAACTTTACTGGGACCCTCATCCTTAGAAAAGACAATAAACCTACCTCAGGGAAACCTCAAGGTTCTACCTGGAGCTGTTTGAATATTTTCTTCTCCTACCACCTTCTATATTTTATATTTATATGAAATTTTGTTGATAAACAGGATACATTGACTAAAAACACAAACATGAATACATTGGTACAAAATATCGAAGATTATGAATCTCCTCCAGCTCCTCTGAAGCTGGATGTGAGCCATGAATGCAGCAAGCATTTCCTTTCTGGATGGCCATGCTGAGGCATCGAAACATGAAAGTAATTGCCCTTGGATCCCTGTTGGTGTCGATGAATCTGGAACCCAGTTCTTTAAGGAAACATGTAGCATTTTTCCCCATGATCCCAAAGTCTCTGATCCCACTGAGAAAAATTGATACTGTTGGCTTATGTCCCTATACATGCTGATCTTGTACTCCTCCCTGTGATCAGCAACTCCTGCCTGTCGCCCGACTCTGTAATGGATGGAGGTGTCAGCCAGTGTCGACATATAAGTATAGTCCTATGCTAAGAGCTTGCCATTCTTTCAAATACAGATGGTGATCCCATCTTGGCAGTTTGCTGAGTTGTGAGTATTGTTGGCTGCTATTGATTGGGGCTCTCTCTTGGCTGAGCATCCAGTTGCATAAAGGGTTCTCTTTATGATGTCATTTACCTCACTGTGTCTTGCAAGCCAGCCCTTGGTTTTGGAATCATGTAGACCATATTAGTCAGCTTGAACATCACTTCAAATACACATATTTTCTGCATGAATTGGGGTAACAAGGCACAAACCCAATGCAATACGGAGGGTCTTGGGGTTGAGGCGTGTTCCCATTGCCAGAATGGGAACAGTCTGCAGGAAGTCCCCAGAGTGATGTGCACTCACAGCTTTGAGATGGAAAGTCTGTCTGATGATACAACGCTAAGCATGTTAGCACCTTTTCAGCTATGAGGCCATCCCAACTGCAGTCCTTTCCATCTTACTCTTAATTCTTCCACTTTACTAGGTATATTCATCAGAATTATTCCCCTACATAGGAACCATGCATGCTTTCTGCCAATTCATAGGTACCATTCCCTCTTCCATGCATTTATTAAATATAATCATCCACCACTCCAAAACTACATCCCTACCTACTTTTAACATATACATCTTATCCCAGCAATACCAGCTGCTTCACCCCCTTTCATTCTATCCACTGCCTCATGCACTTCCCCCACACTCACAACTGTCTCTTACTTACTCCTATTAGATGTTATTTCTCCTTGTCTTATACACGATATCACAGCCTCCCTATCTTCATCAACATTTAGCAATTCTTTAAAATATTCCTTCCATTTTATCGATACCTCTAGCTCTCCATTTAACAAATCTTCGCACAAATTAACTATCAAATTCATTCATTCACTATGCTTTCTCTACTTATTAATCTCACTCCAAATTTTTTTCTTATTTTCAACGAAATTTGCTGAAAACATCTCACCCACTCTCTCAATTGCTCTCTTTCTACACTGCTTCACCACTCTCTAAACCTCTCTTTCTCTCTCCATGTACTCCTCCTTCCTTACATCACTTAAACTTTGTAAAAAACTCTAAAATGTTACCTTTTGCTGTCTTATTGCTCACTTTACGTTATCATTCCAACAATCGCACTTCTTCCCTCCCACCACTTTCCTGTAACCACAAACTTCTGCTGAACACTCTAACACTACATTTCCAAACCTATCCCATACATCTTCTTCCTCTTTGCCTGTACTCTCACTAGCCCATCTATCCTCCAATAGTTGTTTATATCTTACCCCAAATGCCTCCTCCATTAGTTTATAAACCTTCATCTCTCTGTTTCTTCCTGCTTCTATTTTCCTTTTATCCCATCTACCTTTTACTTTCACTGTAGCTGCAACTAAAAAATGATCTGATATATCTGTGGCCCCTCTATAAACATGTCCATCCTGAAGTCTACTCAACAGTCTTTTATCTACCTATACGTAGTCCAACAAAATACTGTATCATATATTGTACTTATTTATCCTCTGTCTTAAAATATGTATTACCTATAACTACATCCCTTTCTATACAAAGTTCAGTCAAAGGGCTCCCATTACCATTCACACCTGCACCCCAAACTTACCTATCACACCCTCTCTAAATGTTTCTCATACTTTAGCATTTAGGTCCCCTACCACAAGTACTCTCTCACTTGGCTCAAAAGTTTCTACACTCTCACTTAACATCTCCAAAAACTCTCTCTCTCTCCTCTACAATCCTTTCTTCTCCTGGTATATGCACACTTACTATGACCCACTTCTCGTATCTGCCCCTTATTTTAATCAACATAATCCTTGAATATATACATTGATTTTCTCTCTTCTCTTACCTTAACTGATCCTTCAACATTAATGCTAACCTTTCCTTAGCTCTGACTCTCTCAGATACTCCTGTCTTAATTCTATTTATTTCTCCCCACTGATCATAGTGATCATAATATGTTGTACAACCTATTATGATCAATGAATAACGATGGTAGCGATTCTCATGTCATAATAAAGAATTTTATTAATATAATCATGAATAACAGTATCTATTCTTCCTTTTATATCTCTCGTTAGACTGTTTCCTGTCAACATTCATTCTCAAAACATTTGACATATATTACAATACAAGTTTACAATATTGACAAGTTGTATCTAACTCTTCTGGTCCACGTTGGTATCATCATTACACAGGAATTTCAACATTTAATATGTTTTTTAAGATAATACTTAAATGTTTTCTCGTGTCAGTGGAAGTTATAGACAGAAAATGTTTAGCAGGGTGGTCCGTGGCCTGGTGGAAAAAGCTTTCGCTTCACACGGTAAGTGCCCAGTTTCGATTCCCGGCAAGAGTTGGAACACTGAGCTTGTTTCCTTACACCAGTTGTCTATGTTCACTCATTAGTAAAATGGGTACCTGGGTGTTAGTGGACTGGTGTGGGTCTTATACTAACACAAATCTGACCTAATTTGTGGGAAATGCTCTGCATAACAAGTCACCTAGGACTGTATACCACGTACATGTACTTGTAGAAATAAATATATTTATTTATTAATCATAATTATTCACTACCTCAGCCTTGGTAGAAAATGTTGAAATCCTGATCTTTCATACATCTATAGCAGATGCTTGAGAATAGATGCCTATTCTGGCTAGAAAAAGAGATGAAGTATTTGAAGTCACCATTTTAGTTGGACATTATGCCTCTGAAAGGTAAGTCATGAGTAGAGTTCGGGTATAGATTAAAAGTAGAGCTGTAAAAGATTTTCTAAATAACAAGATATTATCTACAATTTTGTTGGTAACCTTTGGCCAAACACTTACATGTGACCAACTTCCACTAGTGTATTTCAACCACCTGTAATGGTGTTGGTCATGGCCTACTACACTAGTGAGTCCCACCCACCTATAATGGTGTTAGTCATGACCTACTAGCACTAGTGGGCCCAACCCACCTGTAATTGTGTTCTTGACTGCTGCACCTGTCCTGTGGTAACAGTATAAGGTTGAGGGACTGATCACCTCATAATTACTTCTCTGCCTATTCCACTGCTGCGAGTCCTGTTTTGGCTGGAAATTTTCAGCACGCTATTTACATTCCCTTTATTTATTCCTGTTTTCCATTTATGCACCTCGATCATATACCCCGTAATTCTATGCCTTTTGAGAGAGTGCAGATTAAGGACCCTCAGTCTATCCTCATAGGGAAGATTTATGATACATGGGATCATCTTTGTCATCCTTCTCTGAACGTTTTCCAGAGCATTTATATCCATTCTGTAATACGATGACCAGAACAGAGCAACATAGTCTAAATGAGGCCTAACCAAGGATATATAAAGTTGAAGAACAACCTGAGGACTTCTATTATTTATACTTCTAGATATAAAGCCAAAATCTCTGTTAGATTTATTGTGAACACTAATGCACTGTTGTCTTGGTTTTAGATTACTGCTAACCAGAACGCCTAAATCCTTTTTTGCAATCAGTAGTATTAAGATCTACATTATTTAGTTTATATGTGGCATGGTTATTTTCCTGTCCAACATTTAGAACTTTGCATTTGTCAATATTAAACTGCATCTGCCTCTTCTCCAACCATTGCATCAGCCTATTCAAATCATCCTGGAGTGCTCTACTGTCCTCATTAGAAGGAATTGGACAGCCTATTTTGATGTCATCAGCAAATTTGCTGTCGCTATTTATTTCCTCATCTATGTCGTTTATGTAAATTGTGAACAACAAGGGGCCCAACACTGACCCCTGAGGAACACTGCTTGTGACGTGCCCCAATTCTGATTTCCCCCCATTTATGCAAACTCTCTGCTGCCTATTTGTCAGCCATGCCAAGATGCTACTGAAGAAATCTCAGTCTTAGAAATAGAAGTTTCTTTTCTTTGATCAAACCTGAATACTTTCTGTTTCCTAGGTACTGTGTCACCCTTATAAGTTAAGTGTTTCTTAATGAATATAACAACAACAATTTATTGTCTTGATTAACAAAAGTTTTCATACATTTTTGTTTCAGTGATCAGTCTATGTGGTACTTCAGGTGTTGTTCCAGTTGTACAAACACGTCAACACGTAAAACAAATGTTGCTGCAGGTGACTCACGAAATTGTAATGACATGATTGCAAGTGACTAGTGCGTCGATCTGGAGTTTTATGATTCTGATCGCGGGTTCTAACCCAGCCTGTGGTATGGTTTGTTTCTGCATGATATGTCTGAACGCAAGAAAGTAATGTAAAATTTGTAATAAATCTGGGAAATATCAGTTATAAATCTGTAATAAATCAGTAACAAATCTGTATTTTTTTTATAAATACTGTAGTAAATATTGTAATAAGTTTAAAGTTTTATATGTAAATAAAAAGACAAAATAATTAGTAGGTCAAATAAAGTCTAAATAATACTTACAAAAATCAATAAAAATGTCTTTTTGTTCACACACACACACACACACACACACACATATATGTATATATATATAATATATAAAATATATATATATATATAAAAAATATATATAAAATATATAATATAAATAAAATATATATATATATATATATATATAAATATATATGTCGTGCCGAATAGGCAGAACTTGCAATATTGGCTTAAATAGTAATAGCATGGGAATTTTGCTAAAAAATATGTTTATGTAGTTTATTTTGCTAGAATGTATTTAGTGTTTTGTATTTATAAGCCTAAAAATCATTTATATTAAAAAGTAAAAAAATGTAAGTAAAGGAATTTTGGAATTTGGGTGGAATTTTTTTTTGAAAACTAAATATTAAAAAATCCATCTGCATAATTTAATATATTCACCCCTTCCCGCATGTACATTTTATTTTTTAAACCCATTAACCTGACATATATACAAAAAATAATGCAGTGATTAATACATTTCGGCAGAATACATTACGTTGTAAAAAATTCCACCCAATTTTGAGCTTCTGTTTAGCCCATTATACATCGTATTCTGCATAATTTTAATATAGTCATACCTCTGCAGTGTACATTTTATTTTTTAAATCTATTAAACTGATATTTAGTACACTTGTAATCTCACTGACTTCACTTTGATCTCCGGCAGAAAATGTGCTATTTTGAATAGAGATACTATGGGTCATACCTTCTGATTTAGTCAACTTGTAATCTCACTAACTTACTTGAATCTCCTGCAGAAATTAAAACAAATGTGCTATTTTGAATAGAGATTTAGGTTGTTTTCTCATACGAAAATTATCAGTTATCAAAACATTTTGGCAGAATGCATTACGTTTTTAATAATAGAGATCGATGAATGACAAATATAGCAAAAGCTACTATTAAAAAAACTGAGAATGTGGTATTTTTAATAAAAATTCCACCCAATTCCAGCTTCTGTTTAAAAACCCCTTAACCTAATATTTAGTCTACTTGTAATCTCACTAACTTCACTTGGATCTCCGGCAGAAAATTAAACAAATGTGCTATTTTGAATAGAGATTAGGTTGTTTCCCATACGAAAATTATGCATTACGTTGTAATAAAGAGATCGATGAATGACAAATAGAGCATAGCTATTTTAAAAAAACTGAGAATGTGGTGTTTTAAAAAAAAATTCCACCCAATTCCAGCTTCTGTTTAGCCCATTAAACATCATATTCTGTATAATTTTATATGTCATACCTTCTGCAGTGTACATTTTATTTTTTAAACCCATTAACCTAATATTTAGTCTACTTGTAATCTCACTAACTTCACTTGGATCTCCCGGCAGAAATTTAAAAAAATGTGCTATTTTGAATAGAGATTTAGTTTTTCCCATACGAAAATTATGCAGTTATCAATACATTTTGGCAGAATGCATTACGTTGTAATAATAGAGATCGATGAATGACAAATATGAGCATAGCTACTATTAAAAAAAACACTGAGAACATGGTGTTTTAATAAAAATTCCACCCAATTCCAGCTTCTGTTTAACTCATTATACATAGTATTCTGCATAATTTTAATATACTCACAACTTCTGCAGTAAACATTTTATTTTTTAAACCCACTAACTTGATATTTAGTCCACTTGTAATCTCACTGACTCACTTTGAATTGGGTGGATTTTTTATTAAAACACCATATTCTCAGAGTGTTTTTAATAGTAGCTATGCTCATATTTGTCATTTATAGATCTCTATTATTATAACGGAATGTAATCTACCGAAATGTATTGATAACTTCATAATTTTTGTATAGAAAACAACCGAAATCTCTATTCAAAATAACTATTTTTTAATTTCGGCCCGGGGACCAAGTGAAATCAGGAATTAC